AAAAAAAAAATCATTATTCATTCATTCAATTAATCATACAGTCAAGAAAAAAAGTAGTAACACCTACAACAATTTCCACAAGCTCACTGACATTACATTAAGTTAGCTTTAAGCAGTTGAGTTGAACCTTTAAGAGTTCACTCATGCAATAAAAGAAAGATACTTAACATTGTAAAAGGTTTTTATTTTTTATGGGCTCAAAGCAGAGAAAAGAAAATCTGTCAGGGTCATCTTTTTAAAATTGTATCCAGTTGAAAGGGCATAGAAATACCTGTATTAATTTTATGTATCATTACATTGTCATCATATGAATATATACTTCTTGATGGTTGTGCTCTTATTTTCTAATTTTCTCAGAAAACAAAATTATTATCAGCAGTGAATTGTGCCACAGCAGCTCACACTACACACCTATACTGTGTGTAAATACAGCTTGTTCTTATGTTACACTGTACTGTTGAGTATATAATCCCGCTCCTCTCTCCTCGCAGTCCAGTGCCAACAATCACATGGAGGAAGATAAATGGCAACATCCCCAAAAAAGCAAGACTTCGGAAGTCCCAGGCCGTGCTGGAAATTCCCAACATTCAGCTGGAGGACTCAGGAACTTACGAATGCAAGGCAGAGAATCCGAGAGGAGGCACTGCTTTCAAAGGACATCTGCAGGTCTACAGTGAGTCTGAGTGTGCATTGATTCTGTATTAATTTGTTGGTCTTTAACTTTTCTCTTCAGCTGTCTCACATTATAGAAGAGGACATGTGGTGATGTGTTGTACTCCAGCAAATCACAATAACACAAATCACAATAACAATGTTATTGTGATATCTACAAAATGTAAAATGATGGGATTAATATTAATAATAATTCTATCAGTCAAATTTATCTTAAATTTTGTTTTGTCTGTTTTCACTCTTTTTTGGTAAATGAATTATGGCGCACTCAAAATTTGAGTGTAGGGAGGTACTGAATTATTTACACAATATTATCATATGTATATTATTACCATGATATCAGTGTTTCATTTTTAAAATATCACAGTTTTTGTCAATGCCAATCATTATACCCCCTGTCTGAATATAGTAGCTTAAACAACAGTTGCTGAACAGTTCAACTTTTCAAGTTCATTTTGGTTGTTCTGCACAGTTTCCAAGGATTTTTTATGATGTAAGTCATCGCTGGTTACAGTCATCTGTAATTCAAGGCTGGGGACCGGTCCTTGTCTCTGTGAATTTGCCGAACAGTTCAAGGACTAATTATACACCCATGGCAGATAATCCAAGAACAAGTTCATCACCTCAGTGAGTGAGCTGTGTCTTTTAGTGTGGGTCTCTTTAACACGGCTCTTCAGCTGTCAGGTCTGTTTTGTCCAAAATATTCTAACCACTCCTCTGGTAGTTGTTTTACTAATGTGGTTGTTTTGTCTTTTTTCAAAGATTTGTCGCAATAGATCAGAATTCTTTTTTATCCAGTAATCACATCCATGCCTTTGAATGCTACTTTCTATGAATTTTCTGAGCACACCTGTTCCTAATTATTTTTGTCACTACAAAAACATAACTTTCAGGTAACAGATTGAAATAATCTGTTTAAATGAGATAATACATTAATTAAATATTTAACAGTTGCTGGGGATACCAATAAAATAATATGAAAATATATTCACATTGTAATGTTTTCAGCTTGCAGGCATACACTTTAATTATGTATTTCACTAACTCAAGGCTTATCAACTAAAAACACAGAGTTTCTTAAGTACAGTGATTAGATATCAGTTTCAGGACAGACCTCACTTGAAGAGCAGTTTCTTAGTTTCCTTATGTGAGGTGCTCGTAAGTGTGCTGAATTACTACCGTTCCCCATTATCATAGATGAAGGTGCATGTCGTCCATTCCTCTCTGTCTGTGCCGTGCGCACAGGACCAAGATAATGGACTGCCTCGGCCTTGGTGGGACACATTTCCAAGGCCCTGCACTTCTTGGCAACCTCCATTCTGTTGACATCACAAGGAGAATAGCGAGCTAATTTGTAGCAGGCTCACGCTAAATGTAATTTACACAGGTCAGCTGGAAGTTTGAACTTGCATTGTGAGGGAGACCTTCCTGACCATAATCATTCAATCAAACCACACACACACAGAAAAAGTATTCCACTGAAGGTGCCATATGCAAAGAATAGCAAAGAACGTGCTTGGCATGTTACAGTAGAAGAAGCAGCTTAATAGCGAGGTTTTCCTCCTTTCTGCACATGCTGTAAAAGATATACACCACTGGAATGTACATCATTGGATCTGGTGAGGTGTGAGATACCATACACCAATCATAAATTTATTTTTTTGATTGTAAAAAGGAAAGAAAGATAAAGCAAAAGATGTGAGAATGTCGGAGCTGTCAGAGCCAGTATTCTTCTGGAGCTCTGTGCATTTAAAGCTTTACACGTCTTTGGGTTTGCACTCTTTTATCACATTCAGCATATAATAATATCATGTCATTATCAATATCTATTTAACTTGTCCCAAGAAATTTAGTGGGTTATTAACTTCTGGTTGCACTTGTTATTTTAATCTTTTATTCCTTTTTTTATCAGTATTAAAGTGCTCAGTATAACAACTTTATTACAACATACAAGTGATGTCACAATATGCATTTAAAAATGTCTTATTTGAGCATAAAAGCATATTAAAGCAAGAGGTATAATTCAAAGGAGATTAGAATAAAAGAAGAAGAAAGGCTTGGGTTACTGACCAACTGATTAACATTCCCTCTCCATACACAAGACTGTCAGAATGATCCAGCCTCAGTAAAAGGTCCTTGTAAAGTTTATATTCTTGTAAATTTACAGGAATTGAAAAATGCACCGCCACATGCGGTATAAGACTCAGCAGATGGAAGGGGACTACAAGATGAAAAGAAAGTACATACAGCCTATACAGCGCTCAGATCTTGAGTTGTGACAGATTCTTTGCAACATGTGGAGTTGGACAGGAGCTGTGGATGCAGCCATGGAAACACAAGCATGCAGGATGCTGTGGGGGGGAAAAAAGAAAAGAAAAAAGCGTCATGGTTAAGGGGCCCCCAGGAAAGGCAGTTGCCTAGTGTGCCTATGCCACGGGCCAGGCATGCGGGTGGAAGGAGAAAAAAGAATGTGTTCATGAACATGATACAAAAAACATAAATGTGATCCACACATGGAGAAGACAATGAAAACAGTGCAGCTCTGGGACCCTTCAATAAAAAACCCTACTGCATTTTCTGTTAAAGAACAGTCTCAGAACATTAATAATTTAATCAACTTATTGAATGGCCTGTGCCTGTTAATAAGTATCAGTGTGGTTGGTCGTGCTTGTTGGTCTTGACTAAAGGTGTGTTTGTGTACAGATTTTACCACTGAGTGTTTTCTGCTACACACCATTTTAAATCTTTCCCTTCCTTTCTTTGAAGTGTGCCTGTGAGGCAGCACCTTATTAGAATTAGAAACCTTATTTGCATTTTCCTCCAGTTCTTCAGGGTTAAAGAGCACAACAAAAGATTGGGAAAAAGGAGATATCTTATTACTGGATACATCATGTGATTTATGAGTTGTCTGTGTTAAATGCAGTGCAAAAATACAGGAGCAGTGGAAGACAAAGGTGGATTCAGGGATTGTTCTGTAAAGTGACAAACATCAAAAGACTGTAAAATACAGCAAAAACAGAATGTGCTAAACAAAAGGACAGCACGCTGAAGAGAAGGTGTAAAGAAAAGATTCAAACACAGTGCCAAAATGTATTATTGAAAATTTGATTGAAATAAGTAACACATGGTTGACTTTTTCTATTCTAATGTGTTTGCTACCTTTGGGACTGAGCATTAAGGGATTACTATAAAGTGGTTTAGTGCATCCACTGTTTTAAAGGGGAACTACCCCCTTTTTTAAAATCCATGCAAGGTATTCCTATAATCTTAGCTAGTCCAGAAATGTTAGTAAACATAAACAACTTTCTCTCAAATCCAAAAAATAGAGTGTTATACTCAAATTTGTGATGTCATCAGGTATAAAGTCTGAAGCTGCTCAATAGACAGTGAATTGGTAAAGATGTTCTAGATGACACTGAGAGCACCCAGGGAAATGTTCTGAGTATGTAAGTACATTTTCTTTTTGGAACTGAGAACACTAAACCACACGCTAACACCCACAGTCATCTCTGGGTAGACAACTGGCAATTGATTCCAGTTGCAGAGATATGTAAAATTGGCAAACTTGTTCATTTTTGTTGTCATTTCTAGCTGTAACTGTAACATTTTAAGATGTTTAGTTAAACATGATGGTCCAACCAATGTTTCTGCTGTGCTTATTTTATGTACTGACTTGACTTGCTGGTGTCTTTGATAAACCAAAGCTACAGGCATGGCAGCTAAGCAATGTATTGCTGTGGACGTGGGCTGCGGAAAGTGCCGCCTTAACACTGCGACTTGAAAGCAGTGTTTTGGAGTGTAGTGTGAAACGAGACAGGAGCATGTGTAGTTCAATCAGGAAAGACAGAAGCATAGGCACCAGAGGGAGAATTTCCTGATCGAGGGACTTCTAAGCAGCAGTAAGATATATCCCTCCTGTGGAGTCCAGACCTTGGTGGTGGCTGTTGATTGCTGAGGCGGCTGAGGTTGATGTAAAGACTAGGTGGTGATGGGGAGGGGACTGCAGCAAGAATAGGCCGATAGAGAAGGTGTGTCGCTGTGCTATTGGTTGATGAGTTATTAGCTGAAATCAGCTGATGACTCAATTGACAGACCCAGACAGTGACACCTAGAGATGGTGAGTGAGCGTGCGTGCAAGGAGTGAATAGCAGGGTGAGGAAGAACCTTAGAGCCTGAGCACGAAAAGTAGTGTCTTCCTGACTGAACTTTCACTAGAGCTTCATTTGACCCTTGCAGAGGGTTCTTTCCCTTACAGCAAGGTAAAGCAGTGGAAATATTCTAAATATAGCATACACCTTAATTGATATTGATTTATTTTAAGGTGTCTAAGAACTTAACAATTGAGGCAGTGCCATAGCATTTTATATATGGGAGGTAGAGGTTTTCCACCTTGAAATTATTGTTAAAAAACGTTGTGATTCAGTCTATAAAGCTCATTTTGATATTAAAAAGGAAATAAACACTATGTGAGGCCACAAAATCAGACTCCCATTTATTGTCTATGAAGCAGCTCCAGACTTTGGTTGAGACTTACAGCTTGGATACACTTTACGAATTGAATGTACACAGATAGCTGCAGTCCCTCGCACATGCTCATGGTTCCATTCATAGTACAAATGAGGGCCCTTGTGGCCCCTAGCAGGAAACGGGAGGGCTGGGAGGTGAGCTTTCTGTATTCCTAATGCCTCCGTCGAAAACTAAAGCGAAACTAAGAAGATGCTGCTGGGACTCGAATGTAGATCAAGTGTTTGAAGCATGTGTAGTTAGAGTGCATGGTCACAAAAAATGTATTGCACACGGACATGCGGACGTGGTTGGATGACAACATTTACATCACACAGACCAAAGCGGACACTCGTGGAGTCTCGTAGCTTTGAAAGAGTAGCTCATGTTCACACATATTGATTGAACCTTCCCATGCCGTGGAAAAAATCTTATTTTAAGTGTTGTTCCCCTTTAAATACAGCCTCTTACATGCGTGTTACAAGTGTATTTGTGCATTCCTGTTTCTTTTCCTTTTAAGTACAGGTGACCATACTTGTGCCTTGTGTGGGTTTCAAGGATATATTACTTATTCTAAATCTTTTTTTTCTTTTCTATCTTCAAGCCCTTCCTCAGTGGGTCAGAATGATTAATGACACTCAGATGGATAGTGGAGAGAAGCTCCAATGGGAGTGCAAGGCCATGGGGAGGCCCCGGCCCACCTATCACTGGCTTCGTAATGGTTTGCCCTTGACATCCCAGGTACTTACCTCACTACAGAGTGCCTTCTTCTTTTGTTGATTGTACCCCAAAACATCTGAATTATCCTTCTGAAACTACACGTCTGCTAAATGCAGCATTATCATGGTTAGTATGTCTATGTGCTGATATGATGTTCTTTAATGCTTTCTCCTTGTTTCAGGGTCGAGTTGAAATAGTGAATGGAGAACTGACCATTCATAAAGTGCAGCAGACAGACTCAGGAATGTACCAGTGTGTTGCAGGAAATAAATACGGGGCCATCTACTCAAATGCTGAACTCAAGATTTTAGGTAATTACACATTTGGTTTATAATTTAGAGGACCAAACACAACATTAAAAGAAACGTTTGTGTAATTTTTCATGAGGCAAATGTTCCTTTCGGCCAAGCGCAGTTCTTGTTACTCTGCAAAGAACAGAAGTGCAGACTGAGTATTGGCATCTGAATAAGGTACCAGATGATAGGTAAGGGAGATTGAAATGCAAGTGGCGAACGCTGAACTGTGAGATGTGCTGATTGCCAATCAATGGTCCCTGATTTAACCCAGGCAGTGGACGGCATGAATAAAAGAAGGACCCTTATGGTTATATTCAATGAGGTGTCTGCGCTCATCAAGTCGAGGAGAGTCTGGAACAGTTCTTCGTTATATCTAAAGAGAATGAAAAGCAGTGACTTGTAGGTATAGATTTATACTAATGGGAGCAAACACTGGAAGAGAGACATCAATGGTTTCTTTGATGGAGTTTAATGACTCCATTAGGGTCTTATCTCCACTGTATCGTTTGTCATCAAAGCACAGTCTACACCACAACCCTCATTACTTAAGAAAACAAACCTTCACTTTGAGCGTGACTGTCATCATGTATTTCTTAGTCAGTGTTTGCTATTATTATTTAATAATCAAGTATAATTATTAATAACACACACATTTTACAGTGTTTTCTTTATTTCCAATGTGTATTTTTATCCCTTTTTCTAAATAATAAAACAGGAGTCACATGTACTTGAAAATTTAAGGGCACTAAAAGCCAAGGAAACTGTGCTCTTCAGAGTTACATGTAAGGCCTCAGGCTGAAACATAACAGTCGCACTGAATGGCTGTCCACTGTTCTGCGTTGACGCACTATTTTCTCCTTGTCATCTTCTATACTGGGATACAGCTGGTGACACCCATTCCCCTTCTGTGCTCCCCAGAGGGACAGTTTGATTTACTGTCTGTGTGGCATGCCCTTTTTCGAAGGGGAATCTGTGGCATTTTGAAAATCTTATTGCACATGGAAAAACTTTTTTTTCTTTTTGGGAAGATCTATAAAACATTTGGCCCTAAAATCAGTGTAAATGAGCACAGTTTAATTGATTTAAATGCTCAGTGTTGTCTGCAAGAATGAGAATTTTAATAAGCTTTATGTGAGCTGACGAGAAAGTGCCGTTGCCTTCCTTAGAGTCACAATCACAACGATGATATTTGGAGGCCAGTGATGAATGTTTTCATAACTATACCCCCTAGGCATATCTTCCAAGTGACCTGTGCTCTGCAGAGATGTCCACAAGCAAACACTATCAGGACAGATTACATGGCTAATAACAGCCTGCAGATGAGCGATCACTGGAGGCTACATGGGGGCAGCGGCTGCCCTCAAGCCTGTGATCTTGTCCCAGATCCAGCTCTTCTGGGAGGGGTGGCGGGTGAAGCAATAAGGGTACCGCTGCCACCAGCTGCAGGCCTGCTCTTATTTTGATTAAAACAAATACACACAGCAACTGCTCTGTTTTCTGCTGCTTTCCGTGTCTAGAGGACCTCTGCCACTCAGGCGACTACTCAGCCTCAAAGACACAAGTGTTACAGGGAGAGGGGTCAGCCTGTAGCTACAGATGGGATTGAATTGTCATTGTGTGTAATGTCACCTATAAAGCATCATTCAGGATTTGAATAATCGCAGTTGACAAAGCCTCTCAGCCTGTAGATGGCCTTGATGTGTAATACAGCTGTACACCAGCACCACATCCACTTTTGTGCCCAAAGCCTTATTTAGACCATTAGTGCCTAATTCATTCTCTTGAACAAGCCATGATTGTTAACATTTGTATATTATGTATTTATTATTCACTCAGGCAGCCTGGTTAAATATGGGTTAAAATAATTTTCATAAAAGTGGCACAAATCACCCAACCATGTCATCATTAACATGATGACAGCTATTTAGTAATTAGGCTGCACAATGTATATTTATAGAGATGTGGCTACTGATTTAGCACAGAATGAAGACAAAGTATGGCACATTATACAGTATATAAAGGCATATTTAGCTAGTGCATGTGTAGGAGCATGCTTTGTAATACCTCATGTGGAAAATCTAGTTATTACTTTGAGACAAATTAGCATTTCGATCAAGCAGTGTTTTGAGTCATGATGTGTCAGTCGAAACCCTCTAGCATTTTTGAATTACTTTGAAATGCCACAGTTGAAGACCTGTAACGAGAATCACGTTTATAAATCTATTACAGTTTAACAGCCACATCATTTATTAAAACTGCTGCAAGAAAGTTTGGTTTACCACTAGGGGCTGAGAGATTAAAACAAGCCAGTCAGGTTGCGTTCAGATGTTATTTGAGCATCCAGCAGAAGCAGAGGAACATGAGAATCCCATCAGTGGCATTTTCTGTTGAGCAGATAGCAGTTAGTTTATGGGAGGCACAGTGCTGACAACAGCTGCTCACATTTTCAGGTTTAGTTTTTCTTAGTTTGTTTAACAAAAAAAGTGAATCATCTTCAGTTTGAGGAGTTACTTGATTCAATACTTGATTTGAAGATCAATCATGGTACACCTCTTACAAATACAATACTGAACATAATGTCTGTTAACATATCTTAACTGTGTAAAAAAAGAAATTCAAATTGCTTGTTTTGGTAAGTGCCAAACATTGGAAACAATAATTCACATATGGTGTGAGTATTATTGTGTTGTCTGACTATATTAGTATGCCTCCACACCAGCAATATCTGCGGTTGGATGCATTATGTTTTTGGATTGTCTGTACCACATACCACATTGTTGTGAGAGCGATATCTCAATAATGCCATGGGGAAATTTCTTCAAATTTGTCACAAACCTCTGGCTGGTCCCAAGGGTGAACTAATTACAATTTGATGGTCAAAGATCAAAGGTCAAGGTCACTGTGACCTCACAAAACATGTTTTTGGCCATAACTCATGAATCCATTTGCTAATTTTAACAAAGTTCACACAAATGTTAAATAGGATCAAATGATGAAGTGATGACATTGTATATTCAAAAGGTCAAAGATCAACTTAAAAATGATGTCACAATGTTTGGCAAAAAACACCTCTCTGGACATTATTCAGTGCCATACTTCAGGGACTAAACATTAGGTCTGATACTGACTTGGTGACACAACTGTGCTGATAGTATGTGATCTTCTCTGATGCTGGGTTGAAAATGTGTGAAGCATCTGTGTTTTTAAATTTGTAGCTCCTTTGTTGCAACAGACATGGGTGTAAACTGTAACTGCAACTTGACCACCTTGTGGAGGTATACAACCACAAGGTGGTAATTCTAGTTTTTTTCTTTTTTTCTAAAAAAATGTTAAAATGTTATGTGTCTGTCTCGCACAGCCTCGGCTCCTGTCTTTGTCCACAATCCCATACGGGTCATTGCCACACTTGGAAAAGATGTATCACTAGAATGCAAACCCAGAGCATCGCCCAAACCACGGATAACATGGAAGAGAGGAGACAGACGGATACAGCAAAGTCGAAGGTACGGCAATGCTTGAAAAGCATCATGTTTCACTCTCAAGTAGAAGCAGCCTCTGTGTGTATGTGTGTGTGTGTGTGAGAGTCAGTTAGAATGCATTGTTACATGAAATAATAAAAATCCATTGACTTATTGATCTGTGGAAGAAATTTTTCCATTTACGCGCAGCTTGTGAAGCCTGAAGCTGACAAAGATCCAGTGTTCTGCTGAAGGACAGTTTAGCAGCACAGGTGTTTGCACCTGGTGCCACTGACCAAGGTCATCATATCAAAGCGTAGCCGCACCTCAAGCAGACTCTTTCTTACTTTTCAGCTCATGTCAGTAACACATTTTGACTTTAAAATGTACTGCTTACTGTAATAAAGCATTTTTTTTTAATCAAAGAAACATTTAAAGATAAAATGTCCAGATGGAAATGACTATCTTGGGCTAAACTTGTGGATTTAATATCTCACATATTTCATCACATTGTTGCCTTAAAGCTTTCCTGGTCATTGATTTCCTGGAAAATTGTCTGCAATGGCCTGATATAACCAGAGATATTAAAGAGATAAATAGATACATCAGCAGAAATGCTTTAGTCTTTATAGCTGCACAGTATATTGCTATAACATCCGGTCCTCTATACTGGTGCAATGTGGTATTGAAAGTAAGAGAAATGTGTAAAACTCAGACAAAATCATTTCATACCATGAGATATCACTAAAGTAATGACCTGCCTTCAGCTCTTTACTGTGCATCCAAAATAGTGATATGTTGTAGGGAGTGTCTCAGTGTGTGGAATGACGGCCTTAAACTATTTTAGACTTTTTGGAAGAATTAATTTTTGCTGTTATCATTGGGCAAGATTGTGTGAATTTTCTTTGCGGGCAGTGCTAGATTTACTGGAGCTCAGTGTTATAAATAGTGTCCGATTTTTTTTTCCTCTGCACAGTTTAGAGAATAGAATATTATGAGAGGAAGTTAATTGCCTTGTAAAATATGTATGAAGTCATGAAAAGTTTGTCTCCCTCAGTATCTTTATATTGTTTTTCATGATAGTTTCATGGCATAACTTCAAGTGTTATCATTCCTGCTCAGGCCCTTCAGGAACTGTATACACGTCTTGTTGGAACACATCACACTTTCATTACTGTAACTGAAATTAAGTGTCACTACTAGAATAAAACACCTTAGGTACTGGCAAAGCTCTCAAAGGCTCAGATGCAACCCCACCTCCTTTTCAGGGATGCTGACAATTTAGAGCGTACAATTGCATTTGGAATTCACATGCAGTTTGATGCATCATCTTTTATGAGAAACATCCCTCCGTTGCACCTAGAGGGGGGCTGAGCAGAGCGAGGGTCCATCAATCAAACTGAGCGACAACACTGAAATTATCAGTCGCTGCTGAGCATCCCAAGTTTTGAGTGAGAGAACAGGACCTTTGTTTATCAGCCAAGATTCAGCTGTCTGTTCAACAGCCTCGCAGCAAGGGCAGCCAGTTGATAATCAGATCCTCAGTGTGTTGCTCCTTCAAACAGGCAGCAGCAAATCTTCATGCCTCGAACAGGTGAAAGGAAACAGACCACTCAGGCATTAGTTTAACATGCTAATTTCAGAGGTTGGTGCAAATATTTCATTTTCCATTAAAAGACAAATGGTCCTCAGAGCTCATTTTGGATGTCTATTTTCTATAAAAGAGCCGGCTTCAGTGAAACTGATGGATGGGGATAAGTTAGTGAGTGTGTTGGCCTAAAATGGTGATTAATGACCCTGGCTTGTCTGGATCTGATAAAGCCTTTGAGGTATTTGTCAAACCCTCGCAAATCTATTTTTCAGCGTTGTTGGTGCACGCTGCGGGGAGATTCATACCTGTCCGAAAACCTTGATCTTGTTTTTATCTGACTTCAGATACAGTCATGTCTTGAGAGAACAGAAAATTGTTCACAAACAATATCGGCAAAGCGGTTAGTTAGTTTCTCTCCTCAGAGTCATTTATCATTCCCTATTACATGCTGGAATTATACATGTACAGTATGTGGCCCATTTTCATTGCAATCTCAAAGATTTCTAAATTCACATTCCTCTTAAAAGAACAGTTCACCCCAAAATCCATATTTTTCCTCTTACCTGCAATACTTATCAGTCTAGATTGTTTTGGTGTGAATTGCTGAGTGTTGGAGATATTGGCTGTAGAGATGTCTGCCCTCTCTGCAATATGATGAAACAAGACTTGGCTTGTGGTGCTCGAAGCACCAATTGAAAACCTCAACAGCATTGTGTCTTTACAGAAATCATGACATGCTTACTCAAGATAATCCACAGACATTGTTGTGAGCACTTTCATAGAAGAAGTATTTTCATTCTACCAAACTACACCCACCAAGCTCATCACTGTGCAGAAGGGAGCATGCATCTACCACTAGTTCACTTATAATTGAATGCTTTTTCTTCCTTAAATGATCCAAACTGACAAGGTTTAAAGGGACAGCTTACTCCAAAATCAAAAATACATATTTTACCTTTTACCTATAGTGTTTTTATCCATCTTTTGGTGTGAGTTGCAGAGTGTTGAAGATATCAGCCAAAGATGTCTATCTTCTCTCCAGTGTAATGACACTAGATGGCACTCAGCTTGTGGTGCTCAAAACACCAAAAAAAAAAAAAAATATTTGAAAAGCAGCAATGTCTCTTCCCAGAAATCATGACCTGGATACTCAGAATAATTCACAGACCTTTTTGTGAGCAGTTTCATGTAGGAACTATTTTTGTGCCTCTGCACTGGTGATCACAGTGGCCAAAGGCATTATGATTTCTAGTTGTCCATTCATCCGTTCATACGCGCATCCATACTCACGTAAAGTCAAAGTCACCTTGGCCTTGCGTTCATTTCATTCTTGTGAACACAATATCTCAAGACCAGCATGTATTTCTTCAAATTTGGCACAAATATGAACCTTGAGTCACAGATGAATTAATTTGAATTTGGTGGTGAAAGGTCAATGTCACTGTGACCTCATCTGTTTCATTATTGTGAACACACACAATATCTCAAGAGCACCTTGAGGGAATTTTCTTTAAATTTGTCAGCCTGGATTGAAGAATAAATTGATTAGAATTTTGTGGTCAAAGGTCAAGGTCACTGTGACCTTGCAAAACACGTTTTGGCCATGACTCAAGAATTTGTATGATAATCTTGCATTTTACTCAAATGTCCCATGGGATAGAACACTTAAGTGATGATATGTTATATCCAAAAGGTCAATGGTCAACCTCACAGTGAAATCATAATGTTCTAAAACACTTTTCTAGCCATTGTCCAATACCATATCTCAGAAACAGAGGGGGAGACATTAAATCAGACGCTGAATTGGTGACACTAATCTTGGGTGCCCACATTCAAACTGTGCTGATTGCATAGATCTTCTGTGCTGCTGGAGGAAAGATTCGTGTAAAGCATCAATGTTTTCACAGACATGGATGTAAACTGGCCGTGCAACTTGACTGGTGTGCAGAGGCATACAGCTTTGTGGCAGTAATTCTAGTCTTGCTACTGAACTACACCTGCCAACCAAATCACCCCGAAGAAGGAAGTGTGCATCTACTCATGAACAAGAGGCTCGTGCTCGTGATGGTGTGAGATGTAAACATTAATGGCGTCCTCCTCGGCTGAGCTGTAATGTTAGCTAGCTAAGTGGTGCCAGGTGAACTAGAAGTAGATGCCCCCTGCCTCTGTGCAGTGATATGGTTGGCAGTTGTAGTTTGATAGAAAGAAAATAGTTCCTACATGAAAGTGCTTACAATGAGGTCTCTGGATTATATTGAGTTTGCCATCTAGTTCCATTATATTGGAGAGAAGACAGACATCTTTATGGCCGGTATCTCCAACACTCAGCGACTCACACCAAAACAATCTACATTTATAAATAACACCACTGTCCCTTTAAGCTGTAAACACAATGCTTTTATAAAACACCAGTCAAATTAAGAGTTTGACGCTCTAATGGGATGTTTGATGCAACTTAACAATACTACTGTATAGTGAGTTAATGAACTGGATAATGCAGCGTTTAGAGGGGTCACTGCTCAGCTGAAGATCAATCCTGTGAAAGACTGATTTCTATCTTTGAAAGGCGAAATGGACAAGAAAAGCCGTGCATTTTCAGGTCTCGGCCAGGGTGACTTCTGCAAGGATTTTCTGCCATTACCTATAGTAAAGTAAAGAGTTTATGGATGGAGAGACGTTCTATTCTTGGAAGAACAGGGGAGGGATCGAAACAGCTTCACGTTTATCTGGCATTGACAGCTGTGCTGACTTAATGAAGGTTTGTAATTAACATGGATTTCCGCTAATGTTCGAGGCTTTTGTCTCTTAAACAGAAAGTATTAATCCCATTAGTTTGAAAGTATGTGGCAGACTCAGTTGAAACCCACAGACTCTTTGTTTAAGAGGCAGACAGTGCATAATTTGGCAATTTTTCGAAAATTGTGAAATGTTCAAAAATGTATTATAGGTGACTGACTCCATATGTAAATACAGAGTATTCTGTTGCAGTCTATTTGAACACAACTCAGAAAAAAATGCTCTCTAGGTTAACTCTGATCTCCTAATGTTTCCTTTAAATTTCCTAAGGTTGTATGTATTTGCATATTCTGTACAGTATACCCAGCAGTCCCTGTCTTGTCCTTTCTGCCTCGGTGTCCTTGTCGGATGTGAATTTCCTCCCTAATTTGAAAAATGTCTCCTGGCTGCAGATTGCCTCTGAATTGTCTATGTGTGGCAAGATTTGGTCACGCCTCCGTGAGTTCCTCTTTGCCAATTTCAATCACCTTGCCCGTGATGAAAGAGCTTATTGCTGTAAATATAAATGCCAACACTATAAATTAGATTAAAGAGAGAATACCTCACAGCCCCTTATCATTCTGATTGTTTGATTTTGGATCAATTTAATTTTCTCATAAAAAAATAACTCTGTTAATATCCATCCCCACCTCTGTCAGCCATATTGAAGTCAAACGTGATATACATATTCAGATTGTGAGTGAAAGGGATTTGCCCCGGACACTGAGTAAATAGCTGTGGCTTGAAACAGTTCACAGTCCTACTGTATACTTTCATATGATTCCTGCTCTGAAGCCATCTGCTCTCACACCTGCCTCCAGTGTTGTTACATCCTATACTATCTGATGTCAAGCACTTAATTCTCCAGCTGTTATTTACAAGTCAGTGTGAAATGTTAATACCATATTGCTAGTGTCCTTCAGCTGGATAAGGGGCTACTTATGAATGCAGGCGCGGTGTTGTTTTTTCTCTCTATTACACTTGTGTTTCCCGGGGGGCGGCTCGCAGATACGTGCATCTCAGTTTGACAGCTTTTGCTTTAGATTCATTGAACGCACCAATATTTAGGGTTTGTCAGGTGGATTCATGAGCACAGCACAAGATGAATGCAGCATTTATTTAGATTTATGGAAATGTTGATGCAGGGGGACAAAGAATCTTAGCATCTATTTTATTTCATGTTGCACAGTGTTCTCCACAAATTCTGAAATTCCCTTTAATGAATTTTAAATTATACTGTAATCACTCCAATGGCAGTCTATTGTGTTCTTTCAAAGGCACAAGATCAGATATAGTGCATCATTGTACTCAAGTTGAAAGTCAGTGGAATACTGTGTTGCTTTGTTCTTGACATCAATACTTCAGTGTCGCTTTTTTTTTTTTTTTTTTTTTTGCTTCTTTTGCTGAAAATGTGTCCCCATTACCTTAATCTGTATCTTTAGTGGCATCTGTGTTTTAATCCTGTTCAAGATAGGGCTACTTAGTGCTATCTGCTAATCAGATTCATTAACACATTTAAATCGTTGATTGATCTTTACTGAAAAGGGTTCATTCTCATGTTCCCTTGTTGAAGGTTACACAACAAATACAAACACCATTCTTGACTTCACATCCCCTCGGTCCTCTGAGCATTTCCGTAACACAAACAATTTACTGTCAGACGCTTTTTGTCCTTCAGTTCAGTGATAATAATTTGCTAGCTGTAAACACAGTTTTATTGTATATTTTCCACTGGAATCTCCAGTGGATGATTATTTCAAGACTATCCGAGCAGCTCGTTTTATCTCATCCCCAGTGAATATTTCTATTCTTGTAACCCGACACAACCACAAACATATAACCTCATGCTTAAACTTGTAGTGCAACTGTTCACACGTGAATTTGTTACTCATACCAGTATTGATTTTTGTGTCCTTTCTCGCAGGATTATGTTGTTACGGAACAATACTCTCAGAATTGTTAACTCCAGCCGAGCGGATGAGGGGAACTATGTGTGCCGGGCGGAGAATCAGTTGGGCTCAGCAGAGATGACTGCCATGCTGTGGGTAAAAGGTAAGTGATGCCCTGGGGGCCTTTATTTTCTGCCAAATTAGCACAAGTCGGCCACCAGTAAACAGTCCCCAATGTCATTTTTTCCCCCCCACCTTTGCTCGGGTGCCAGGAAATTTATTGTGCTTGCTCAACCGTGAACCAAGGGCTCTCACATTCAAGAATCATATTACAAGGACACACTTAAGCAGCATAAAGGCCTCTGTCTCAGAGATGCACTGTACACAGTCTAGATCAGAGCCAAGCAGGATATTTATCTGACAAAGGTGAGTGTTTTTGCCCAAGTTAGGGTTGGGTTCTCATGATTGCTCTGGCAGTGATGTCACAGTCGAATGCAGCTGCTTGACGCTAGCTTTTGGTTATCCTGAGGTGACAGTGTAGCAGCTTTGTGCTTCCAGAGGCCATGCGTGTGGAGCTTAGCCCGAGCAGAGTGGAAGTGACTGTGGGGGAGAGCGTGGTGCTGAGCTGCAAGGCGACACATGACACTTCACTGGATGTGGCTTTCCAGTGGTCCTTCAACCAGAGACCAATCAACTTTCAGCAGGATGGCGGCCACTTTGAATACATCCAAACAGTAAGAGCAAGAGTAAGAGTTATTCCCCTATTATTTATATTAACCTTTCTATTAACATGTCCGTCTGTGTGTCTCTGCCTGGTCTGTCTGTCATCCATTGTAGCTCCATCTGTCTGATTGTGTAATTGTTCACCTGTTTAGTGCCTTTTTTTTTAGCAGTGAACAGTGTACTTCACCAGATTTGTTGATATTGCAGATCAACCTATTACAGTCAAAATAATTCTGATGATTTCATTTGCACATTTTATGTAATGAGTTCAAGTACACCTCTCATTGCACCAAACGCTTGTTATACCTGCAAAAAGAACCATTTCGGCTAAAGGTCAGACTGCCTTGGGTATCATCAAAGACCTGCACTGAATCATATAATGGTGAATATCAACGTCTTGTCTATCGTTTTGAATTGCACCTGGGAAATTGTGTCTTTTGTGAAAATAAAAAACACTCACAAAGTCAGACTCATACTGGCTTTGAAGGGTGATGAGGGTCAAAACACAGAAGAACATTTAACATGGTGAATCTTTTTGTGAATGTGCATCATTGCTTCTGCAGACATACAACATGCACTACCATCATCTTCTTTGTCAATATTATTATTTAAATGTATGGCTTTTATGGCTTAAATCATAATCAGGACTACCTAAGTCAATATTGAGATCACAAATTGTTAACACGATTACTCGCTGACTTTGGAAAAAAAAGAGATAAATTTTTTTTTTTTTTTTTTTTTTTAAGACCCTGAAGGAGGCAGAAGAGCTGCAGACTGCAATACTCTGAGCAGCATGCATAGGAATGAGTAACAATATGATGTATTTGAATATTTCTCACTTTTTTCAGACGCTGATAGTCTGAATAAGTTTCTAAGTTTGTCATTATAGTCATTTTCATGAAAAAAGTCACCAAGAGAGTCTGAAGAGTTGATACATCTAGGGAGTAAATCATCAAGTTGGCAACACTGAGTGCACCAATGTGAAGGAAAGGGTGCACTGGATTTTTAACACAAGACAAAAACAAGAGCATCATTGCAAATTTGCATAATTATTTTACCTCAATTATCTTGTTTTCATAATCGTTGGAAGCCAAAATCATATCTGAAAATCAAATTTGATTAATCACCCAGCCCTATTACAAATCCATTCATGATAAGTGCTAATAATAGTCAGGCCCCTCCTGAATTATTGAGTGTAATTGTACCCATTCTTTCCGTTGGTCAAGGGATACAGGCTCAGGGATCTTCTGAGGAAGATGTTGTATAAGATTCTTGCGGCACTTAACAAGATCTGCACAAACACAGAGGTGTTTAACCTTTGCCTTCTTACAACATCAAGGTCACATTGTTAACCTAGGTGTCCTAGGAGATTATACAGTATGTGATGACAGAAACAAGAAAATATTATCACACTGTAGCATGATTATTCTAAACGTCACTTGTACACTAACTGAATTGAAATGGTCATTTTATCGTCAACGAGCTTGGTTTGGTATATTTTTTCACAAAGTCTTACATTCCCCCTCTCCATAATACAGAAAAATTCATTAGCACCTAAACCATAAAATGAAGTTGGAAACAAATTTGCAGGAGAGCAGGGAGTCCTCTTTATGTTCCTTTATCAACACTAGATGTTAAAACCACATCTGTCCTGATGTGTCCTCTGCTACTACCCAGGCTCTGGAGAGAAAGTATTTGCAGTGACAATTCTTTACAGGCACAACAGATTCCTGGCTGATGCATGGTTTGTAATTTTAATCAGGTTTCGTGCTAAACAGCTGCCTGTAGACCTTGAATTATTCCCAGTCTTGCCTCGGGCGTTTCTCATTTCAAGAGAGAGAAAATACGGGTAGCTGAAGAATGTAGCGGCAAGCAAGCACCTGAATTAAACAGGAATCTCTCAAGCCACATGAGCCTCTACAAGATGTAAAGGAATCACACTTTCTTGTGTCAAGCACATTTAGGCTTGCTTAATACCTACCCTTTTTTTTTTTTTTTTTTTTTTTTTTCTTCTTTCCCATTTGCAGCAGTCCTCCACGGTGGATCTGATGATTAGGAGCATTTTGTTGAAGCATGCTGGGAAGTATGGGTGCCGGGCCCAGACCAGTGCTGACACTGTATCTGCAGAGGCTGAGCTCCTTGTCCGAGGTAAGCTTGTGATGTGTCGGTGCACCAGTCCTGTACGCTATGACAACTTGGTCACCCTATCATCAGGGCAGTGACCCACTTAAACTGAACCGCTACCCTCAAACAGAATGCACATCTTATTCTCATACTGAATATTCTTAGAGGGTTTAGTCCAGTGGAAATGGACACAAGATAATAATTGATTTTTTTTTTTTTTAAAGATTATTTTTGTGGGCTTTTTGCCTTTAATGACAGGACAGAGAGTGAAATGGGGAGACAGAGAGAGAGTGGGGACTGACATGCAGCAAGTCAGATTCGAACCCGCGGCCGCTGCAGTGAGGCAATGCCTCTTTACATGGGGCGCCGGCACTATCCACTACGCTACCGACACCCCATAATAATTGATTTTTTTTGGTTTCTGTGAATTTGTGAAATTGGTCCCAGTTTGTTACAAGTGCAGCAGCTTTGGGAGATTTGTTAATTATATCAGACATTAGAAATGTTCTCCTGTTGGAGAAATTGCACAGTGACTATTTCTACATTATCGGCCCCCTTTCGACCTTTCGATCTTGACTAATTTTTTATAGTCACTGTGAGTATGGCTGGACAGACGGTCTGTCTGCATGATCAACTTTAATATGTGCTGTAAAACGGAACGGCTGAAGTCTTGTGATCACATTCTGTGGCTGTTTCTGACCGTTGCTGATTATGTGATGTAACGATTATTGTCCGCACAGCTCCTGGTCACGTCCTGGTCTGTGACTCATCCTATTCTTTTGTCCTTTAACATTACCTGACAGTTTTATAAGAACCAGCCATCCAACCAGAACAAAATGGAGTTTTGTTTTGCTTAATGATTGAATAAAATACAGCTCTGCAATAATTCAGTGTAATTCTTAATTAACTTTCAGAGGAGTTGTGTTGAAACAATGATGACAGTGTCATTGTTTTACAAAAATAATTATTGATTCCACATAAACTGTTATGAAAAATGTTTCACATTTCATTTTACTCTGTATTTTTCTTTAATCATTTAGGTTATTTGCCAAATACTTCAAAGGAATGCTTTGCCAATTTTCAACCAGTGGCCACTATGTGAAAATGAACTGTGGTAAACTTACCACTACCCAGATCTCCCAGCTCATCTCTCAGCATAAATTCGCTGGAGGATGCCAAACGTGAAAAAGAATATAGAAGCAAATAGAGAGAGATTCGCCTTTTTAGTTCTCAAACACAGACCAAACTCAGATCAAACTCTAAAACTAGGCAGTGCTGATCAAATATGAATGAAGATTCAGTTTCTGTATTGCCTATTTTTCACCTAAAGTGTCTTGAGAAACATATTTTAGTGCACTGATCAGACGTTAAAACTTAACAGTGCTGATCAAAGATGAACCAAGATTCTGTGTTGTCGATTTCTCGCAGATGTTTTCAGAAACAAATTTTAGCTTACAATTTAAACTGTAATTCAAGATTGTTTCTTAGCAGACAGCTGCCATATTGCTTCCTGTGTCACAAGCTCACATTACATCACCCGCCAGTGGGAGCGTTTATTGGTCCAGTGTGGGGCAGTGCAGTTCTAGCAGTTGTAGGTTTTCTACCTCTTGAGTTAAAGCAAATGCCACAGCCCTTTCCTCTGATTCCTCTGGTCATACGGCACCAATTTCAAAACTATCTGGGTCTTTCTACTACATAGACAGCCCAGGTTTATGAAAGGACCATCATTCCTGCAGTGAAATACTTCTTTAATGTATGTATATTTATTCCAGAAATGTTCATATTAATATATTGTGACATCAGCGTCCACCATATGACCCACCTCCATAGTAGCTGATGTATTTAATGATTGTCATTTAACATTAAGCTCTAATACAGGGGAGGATTTATGCCATGGTGTTGGGCACACTAAAAAGAGAGTACTGTTCTTATAGTGACACAAAATGCATCTTAATGTCCCGAAATGCAAATGCACCTTTCAGTGCAACCTTCTAATGGGCACTTTTTGGGGACACAGTACATTGGTTTTCATTGAGCGCACCAGCTGCCAGCTTTTCATTTACAGCTGTTCCCCCTAGAGTCCTTAGACGTTTGCTGCACTTGCAGATTACATTTACTTCTGAAGACTGAGGTAAACATATGTTCAGCTGTATTAAAACACAGGAGGGTCTACCACACAGTCATGCTCAGCAGAACTGGCAAAGTGCCTCCAAAGCCCCCCAAAAAAGAAAGCTTCAGTATTCCTGAATCGGCATGAAATCCTTGGCAGCAGATCTGTGTCAGCCCGAATCCTGGTTCAGTTTAGTGTGTCGTGTTCTTGGCTTTTGTTTGTTTGTGCAGAGATTACAGCAGAGGATTGATGTTGTCACCATATGCACACAGCTGCACATCCTCTTAATGCTTGCATGGTTGCATCCATTAGTGTATCTAATGGCAACAATGCATGATGAAGACATCACAATATGGACCAACTGGGAATTGATTCAAACATTAACAGCGATTGTTTTTACTCTTGTGTCATGAAATTCCTGAAGCATTTGTGCTTCAAACCTGAAATCTAATCTGTGTCTCCTAACCCTCTTTCACCAGGTCCCCCTGGACCCCCTGGAGTGGTGATAGTGGAGGAGATCACTGATACCACAGCCACCCTGTCCTGGACTCGTGGCTTGGATAACCACAGCCCTATCAGCACCTATAATTTACAGGCCCGCAGCCCATTTTCATTAGGCTGGCAAACTGTCAAAACAGGTAATCAATAGGGAGCAAGTTGCAGCCTGTAGATCTGTGAGGTTAATGTGGAGCTGTATACAAAGGCCTTAATCCTGCCCAAAGTCATGTACAGAAATGGTGAATCAGCCCAACAAGAGCAAGGTTACTGGTTTCAAGAGACACAATTTAATTCGTGTGGCAAGGTACATTCATATATTACAGCTTTTTTTCTGATTGGTTAGGCACTATCTTTGAAACTATAGGCTATTGTATTGCAAAACCCTACATACTAATCACAAAACCTCTCACTAAACCAGCAACACAGTACACATATCTTACAAAAGCAAGCAACCCTTTTTTTAAGATGATATAAATTAAAAACACTTGTGCTTTTTGTTTTTTCTGTGTGCAGGGCAAAGAGCTTTGTCATACAGTTGCACGCAAAAGCTTGGGCACCCCTGATCAAAATTGTATTTACTGTGAATAGTTAAGCAAGTAAAAGATGACCTGATTTCCAAAAGACAGTAAGTTAAAGATGGCACATTTCTTCAATATTTTAAGCATTTTTATTTTTTATTTTTATTTTTTACAGTTTTAAAATAACAAAAAAGAAAAAGGGCCTGACGCAAAAGTTTGGGCGCCCTGCATGATCAGTGCTTAGTAGCGCCCCCTACTGCAAGTATCACAGCTTCTAAATGCTTTTTGTATCCAGCTAAGAGTCTTTCAGCTCGTTCTGGGGATTTTCACCCATTCTTCCCACTAAAGGCTTCTAGCTCTGTGAGATACTTGGGCCGTCTTGCATGCACTGCTCTTTTGAGGTCTATCCACAGGTTTTTGATGATGTTTATGTCAGGGGACCTTCAGCTTGTGCCTCTTGATGTAGTCCATTGTGGGTTTCAAGGCGTGTTTAGGTTCATTGTCCTGTTGTAGAAGCCATCCTCTCTTCATCTTCAGCTTTTTTACAGATGATGTGATGTTTGCTTCCAGAATTGGCTGGAATTTAACTGTATCCATTTTTACTCTACCCATGAAATGTTCCCCATGCCACTGGCTGCAACACAAGCCCAAAGTATGATTGATCCACCCAAGTGTTTAACAGCTGGACAGGTGTTCTTTTCATGAAATTCTGCATCATTTTATCTCCAAACATACCTTTGTTCATTGCATCCAAAAAGTTATTTTTTAACTTCATCAGTCCACTGAACTGGTGTCCAGAAATCATCAGGCTTGTTCAGATGTTCCTTTGCAAACTTCTAATGCTGAATTTTGTGGTAAGGACACAGGAAAGGTTTTCTGATGACTTTTCCATGAATATCATATTTGTTCAGGTGTCGCTGCACAGTAGAACAGTGCACCACCACTCCAGAGTCTGCTAAATCTTCCTGCAGGTCTTTTGCAGTCAGACAAAGGTTTTGTTTGCCTTTCTAACAATCCTACGAGCAGCTCTCTCAGAAAGTTTTCTTGATCTTCCAAAGCTCAACTTGACCTCCACAGTTCCTGCTAACTGCCGTTTCTCAATTACATTACACACTAAGGAAACAGCTACCTGAAAACACTTTGCTATCTTCTTATAGTCTTCTCCTGCTTTGTGGGCTTCAGTTATTTTAGTTTTCAGAGTGCTAGGCAGCTGTTTAGATGAGCCCATGGCTGCTGATTGTTGGGACAAGGTTTCAGGAGTCAGAATAGTCATAAAGCTTTGAAATTTGCATCACCTGGCCTTTCCTAATGATGATTGTGAACAAGCCAGAGCCCTAACAAGCTAATTATGGTCTGAGATGCTGGTAGAAGTTATCTTTTTGTCTGTGCCCAAACTTTTGCATGGTGCACCTCTCATTCTTTCACTCTAATATTGTACAAAACAGAAGTTAATGCAGTTGTCTTGCTTAAAATGTTGATCATCCTTAATTTCATGGTTTTTGGAGATCAGTTTATCCTCTACTCGCTTTCCTGTTCACAGTGACCAGGGATGGCCAAACTTTTGCATGCCACTGTACATTTTTTTATGGGTCTGACCTTAAGACTCCATTCACATCTCTCTGTCCACCATTCTGTCACCTTCAAATGTTTACATGGGGCCTATTTATAGTGCTCTAGCTCTGATATGTAAGAACTCATTAAACTCATCTAAAAGTGTTTTCCCATGGGTCAATGTGGAAAGGCAATTGGCAACAATGTAGAAACCAGTGTTCATACTTTAGCTTTAGTGAGTTATTAAATCACTAAAGCTGCAGCTCCGTCCCCTAGAGATTATGGTTGTATACCACTAATTTGAAACAGCAGATATGTTTTGAGAGAAATATAACATATTGATATTATTAACATAATGAGGAAACATTGCTAATTAATGTATCTGGCAAGTCGCAAAAGTAACACGTTCACTGACAACATATTTTAGTTGCTTTTTTCCAACACAGGCAGTCTTGCAGCACGGTATCCACTCGTAATGGCTACAGCATTACTTTTATATTTATATTTTTTTATTAACATTTAACCAATATCACAATATTTCCTTAAACTTAACCAGAGTGCTTTTGTTGCCTTAATCTATGACCGGAATCTGGACGTGAACCTGAGGATATGGTGTCAAGGCAATTAGTACGCCTGCCGTGCTCCACAATCATCGTGCTCCTTCCAATCCTTTCAACATGGTACCTGAATGTACTGTTTATTTACCTGAAAGAAACGACCCTGAACATAATCCAGGCAGCGATTATGTTGCCACAACAACATAATTAAGAAAGCAATTTAGTGACATGCAAACATAATTTCTAGGTGACAGGGTTGAAAGTCGTAAATGTGTACGTATTCAGTGTGGCACACTTGGTAAATGCATTGGCTACAAGTGTAAATTCAGAGACAGTGCTTCAGGAATCACTGTGTGTGAGCATACAAAAAAAAGAACACTGTAACACAGTCAGACTTTTAAATCCAGAAAGTAATGGATCAAGTGTCTTACACTGTTGCTCCAGAACAAGGCTTTCTTCTCAGATGCCTGTTTGAGGAGTTATAATGCAGTTCTCTCTCCGGCTGTCATTTTGTGTCTGAACTTGGCTGTTGTTCAGAAGAGCTTAGCAAAAAGTAATTTGAGCCGATATCAAATGCCATTGATTTGAATTTTATTCAGTGTCATATCAGCGGTTAGTGGGAAATTAACCTTTTGGGCTTGAATTATAAGACTTCTCCATTTTCATTTGGTGTAGATGCACTTTTACTGCTTAAAAATGAATCAGCTTCCTTTTTTCCTGTACCTTGACAGAAAAACCATTAATTACTATCACTTAGCGTTAAAGGATGAAGGCTTGCTAAGCATTGTGTGTAATCCATCTTAATATGCCGTGTGATAATAATAGCAGAGTTTAAGGTGTGATAATGATTCATCCCCACAGATATATAAATCATACTTTGTATACACTCCTCTCACATCACGTCTGTTCAACCACATTTAATTTGATAAAGCACAATTAGGACTCTGTGATGTATTGTCAGTGTTGAACTTGTTAAGATTAGCATAAAGGGGATCGGGCTTTTAGCTCCCACTCCTTGCAAACAGAGTTATCGGCTCATGTTTGAAGAGCAGCTCGCCTAACAGAGTGGTCTCATCGTGAGCTGCTTTGGATGATAAGAGTGTAAGCTCCTCGGCTCCACTGAATGTTGCCTTAGTTAGCACAGAGAGACCTCTGGTTCATTTGTGACACAGATATGCTTTCAGTCAATGTTTGTTTGTTGTTGCAGGATCAATATTGACGAAGCTTGATTATGGCGGCCCTGAAGAAACCAGATTAGTTGTGTTACCTGCTTGTAATTCTGTTCCAAAATACATTCATAAATCTTGACTTTTTCCGTCTCAGGGTGTGATTTATAATTACATAGCTCTCTACGTCTTCTGTAGATACTGTGAAAATTGATTAAAATCAGCTTCCCTCTATGTAATGAGTTGTTCTTCCTAATGTGCTCTAAAGCTGCAAGTAAGCTGTTGTTCAGGCATCAAAACAACATCATATACCAGGTTTCAAGTAAATTGCACATCTCCACCACCTGGTGTAAAAGTATGCCAAGTCACAGTGAATCTGGAGGGAAGGCGTAATGCTCTGCAGTTCTTAAGAACTAAGACAATTGTATATTTATTTGTTTTCTGGCTCTGTACTCGAGCATACGGGATTTGAAATGAAACAATGGCTATAAAGGTTAAAGTGTCAACTCACAGCTTTTGCACAAACATTGTAGGAATTGTCCTCCAGTTTTAGGGAACAGAAAGTAATTGGACAAGTCGACACAGTCTTGAAGTCATTATATAAAGTCATCATATTTAATCGTATATAATCCTGTGCAGTTAATGACTGCCTGTAGACTGCAGCCCACAGACAGCAGCAGATACTTGGTATCTTCCCTGGTGAGGCTCTGCCAGCCATCTTCACTTATTGCTTGTGTCAGTCTGGCCTAGAGCAGCGAAACACCTGCTCAGTTGGTTGATGAAGGTCAGGCAACAGAACTTTCAAATGTTCAGCTATGAAAAGAATAAATCTTTATTACCTTGCCTGTACGTTAAGCATCATTGTCCTGCCACATTGTTGTTTTGGTAGACTTCATATTAAAGTGTGTATGATTCTTACACTCAATGTGAATCTGAACATTTTCAAACAGTCAGGCCTCATGTAGGGGCCCGATTTAAGAGCGAATGTGGGGTGCTTGTAGGATTGACATCGTGTGGTGTTTGTTCATGAGATGGTGGCACTGTCACAGAGACTTTAAGGGGTTGCAGAAATATGTACTGTACGTGCGTTTTTATCCCAAGCCATCACATATATCTATATTTGCTTGGAAAACCCCCAAATTAAGATATTTTTACACACACACACGCACACACACACACATATGAACTGGCTTGTGGCGGCCAAGCGTTTATAACAACGTTGCTTTTTGATCCTTTTATGCCAGCTCTTCCTATCTTTGGAAAGCAGAGTTCACCAAGCGTTGGATTGTTCGCCCACTAATAGGGAAGAGAAGCCTGTGGAATACTGGGAGAACATTAATGTGGTCGGACAAGACAAAATTCTTACTTTTCTGCAAGTGGTGCAATGTACCATGTTTGGAGGAGAAATGGCCCTGCATATGACTTAAAAAATACCACAACTGCATTGTAGCTTTGAGGTGGAAGCATCATGGTATGGAGCTGTTTCTCTTGTTGTGGTACCAGCAGAATCCAAATTATCAAAGGGAAAATGAAGGCAGCCATGTACCAGGAATTTCTTGAGGAATTCTGTTGACATCCACCAGGATGGTGAGAATAAGACACAGGTGGACCTTCCAGCAGGATAACAATCCAAAACATACTGCAAAGAGGACTCTCACCTGGTTCCAGAGGGAGAAAATAAAGGTGTTGGAATGGCCCAGTCAGTCACCAGAAGATGACCTGAAGATGAAGATACATCAGTAGACCCTCAGAATCTTCTGGATTTAAAGACTGTGTGTGGAAGAATGGACCAAAAGAACACTGTGAGAGCTTGATTTCCTTATACAGGAAGTAGCTTACAAGCTGGCGTTGTAAAGAAAGGCTTCTTCACCGATTACTGAATACATTTCAGTTGCTGTGCTCAATAATTTTTCCCGCATTATTCCACTTTATTGCACATGACTTTGTTTTACAGATTGTAATGTTACAATTTTCTTATCTGTGTAGTATTGTTGAGTTAATATCAATATCTGCTGTAAATTTCATCTTAATAGCTGCCATGGAAATATGTTTAATGAGAAAAATATTGATGCTTGAATACTTATTTCCCCACTGTATTTACATGTAGTTTACAATGTTAATATGTCTAAGCACCGGTGAATATTTGGGTTTAATCAGGTTCAATCCATCCCTTACATAATCAAACAAGAGTTACTATTACCAAAGGACAAATGCTTCAACAAAGAAACCAGCCACTATCCAGCTGCAGTGGTTCTGTCCTTCTACTGGTGGAAGTTGGCAATACTAATAAGGTATAACCAGTCATGTGCAGCTTGGAGAGGCTGCACAGAATGCTGTCCTTCCAAGAGAAAACTGAACTGCTGCCTAGCGACATCTCTTGCTGCATTCACTTGCACTTTGCGCTCAGACATTGAGGTTTCACTCTTGTAAATTTCCAACCAGCCACAGCTTTTCATATTTATCTTTTTGCATGTCAGTGTTTGGGAAAGGTGGGGCACATTTTTAGTTTAGATGAGTGAAACATAGCCTAGCCAGCTTTCACACACCCTTAAAGCTGTATCGGCACTCACAGCAGTGTTTGTCCCATGTGCTGTACATAATGTGGACAAAAGTACAAGAGATTTTATGTGGTCTTACCCTGATTAAATAAATACATAAGCTTTGCTCTTGTCTGCAGACCCAGACCCAGTGACAGGGGACATGGAGTCAGCCATGGCTGTGGAGCTCAACCCCTGGGTGGAATATGAGTTCAGGGTGGTGGCAAGCAATGCAATCGGGACCGGTGATCCCAGCGCGCCTTCAAGAGGAGTTAGGACAAAAGAAGCAGGTAAATCCTCTGAGCCATCAATTTGCTACGTGCACTACATGCTAGTCACATTTTGGCAGACATAAGCAATCACCCAGAGTCTAGAAACATATTATATAATATGCTGAGTGCTGCTGATTTATTGTAGCTGGAGAGCTGAAAGTAGCTGGTGCCCCCCACATGCCACTTCATGACCATGTTATATTCCCATTGTTAATATACTTGGTTTTAATTGGGCAAAGGGGTTGAAAATAAGCCGCTTACATGAATTTCAACCAGTTTAGTGTTTCTGCTAAAGCTGCCTGTCCTTTAATGCCCCGAGGCAAAGACACAGCAGAATTCACTATTTATGGTGAGCAGAAATTGACTGAGACAGTCTGGATCAGGCATGCCGCTTCACTAACTGCTCGTTTCTCGTCTATAAAATGTAATAATTACAAAGGTCAGTGGTCATTTGGAAGAGGCTTATTTAATGTGTCCTATCTCTTCAGCACAATTAACCGACTAATTATCGAAGCTACACACAGTTGTGGTAATTCATCCTTAAAGATATAATCTGTGATCCAAATGTCAACAAAAAAGTGCGAAATTCAAAATACAGCGATGAGAGCTGTCATTACCACTCTCTGTTTGACTGACAGGTAGTTTAATGCAGGCACACACACCAGACAATAACTGGGTTTCTGATATTTTCTGATGCTGTTAAAGGTTTGTTTACTCCAGCAAAACACATCATTAAAACTGTTTTATTTTCAGTTATGATCTGTTGACTCAAAAAGTGCTTTTTTAAATCATTAAGACAAACTTAATTAATCAAATCCAAGTTTAGCTCAAATTGTGTAGTCATAAAGGACATGGACTGCTATCTGAAAATATTTCTTCTGCATTTTCACCTTTTCTTTCTTTCAAAAACACATTGAAGTGAGTTTGCAGTGTTGGTTCAGTGATGCATTGTTAACCTTTCTGTTTCACACAGTCCCGTCAGTGGCACCAGCAAATGTAAGCGGAGGGAACGGCCGCAGGCATGAACTGGTCATCTCGTGGGAGGTAGGGTTCTCTGCCAAACTCTCTCTGAAACACAGGCGTGACGACATATGTGCAAAAACACAAATGTCACCATGGTGTTTCAGTTAAGCAAGCTTGGATTATTGTTGAATAAACAGGAGTTAGTGAAAGCTTTTATTTAGTCTGCTCTCACTTAAAAAATAATCTTTGCCATTCCCAGTTGTATCTGTGGATGTCAGCTGCATGACATTTGAACTGTGGAATGTTTTCAAAACTCCTCAGTGATCATCTTATCTACATGCTGTGTGAGAGAGGGCTTCAAGGTCCTCGAAATTCAAGATGCCTCCTCTACAGAACATTCTCTCAGTTTCTAAAGAAACTGAAGCAGAAACTGCCACAGGTCATGCATTAATTATACTGGAATTCAAATCCTAATTAGAATTATTAGCAAGCGTTCACTAAAGTTTCCAGTATAATTTGAAGACTTTGGATGTGAAACTTTACCATCTGCAATCTAATTAAAATGCGAAAATAAATGTCATTCCAGTCAATAGATTAGATCAACATTTCGAATGCTCGCTCATAATGAGAACCTGTCTTGAATGTGTGTGTCAGTGTGTCAGTGTGTTGCATTATGTAAACAGAACCATGGTTACAGTCTCATGACCCCAACTAAAGATGTTACTCATTCTCTGAAAGAGGAGATGCTCAGGGATCAGTTGCTTTCAAGTCATTTCTTTTTTGCCATCTGGTGTGTAAACATGAGACCAAATTTCAGATTTATTTTTTCAAGCAATATTTCATGGAAAGACCATGATTCACCTCACTCCTTTCACTTCAACTCAACAAAATCACCTTGTGCAGTGTAGTTCACAGTCTCTGTTATCTGAAACCAAGCAGCAACCTCTGGGGCTAAAAATTGAGCCAATGTAGAAGTGCCAAAAGTTCCTCAAATGTCCACTTGAAGCTGGCTTCAAGAATGAGTCAATCCCCATCGACCCCTGTGTTAAAATGCCCAGCTTTACAGCAGAAATAAAAATGTTTACACATGTTCACATTTTAGCTACGCAGGGGGTGCATTTTTATATAACTCACCCATTTAAATGTTATTAAGAGTTGAAATTATGCTAACCGCTATAAGTGACAGGTGGGTTTTGTCTGTCTTGACAAGCTGCTACCACAGCAACAACACTGGTTAGGTAAGGTTAACATGGCACAACCTCAGACTCACAGAGTATGGGCAAAGGTGCAGCTGTCAGCATTTGTTTTTATATAATGAAAGTTAATTGTAAGGTTGGAGAATGGAGCCTGAGATGGATCTGTGGTTTGGTGCAGCGTCTGCAATGATGCGGGTGCTGTGCTGGACCGTCATGGTGAAGAGAGAGCTGAGCCAGAAGGCAAAGCTTTTGATATACTGGTCCATATACGTCCCAACCCTCACCTATGGTCATGAGCTCTGGGTAATGTCCAAAAGAATGAGGTCACGGATACAGGTGTCTGAAATGAGTTCCCCTTAGAAGGGTGGCTGGGCTCAGCCTTAGAGATAGGGTAAGGAGCTTAGACATCCAGAGGGAGTAGAGCTTGGAGTAGAGCCGCTGATTTTTGCGTCAAATGGCGTCAGTTGAGGTAGTTCAGGCATCTGATCAGGATGCCTTCCGTTAGAGGTGTTCCAGGCATGTCCAACTGGTAGGAGGCCCCTTGGCAGATTTAGAGCACGCTGGAGGGAGTACATATCTCGTCTAGCCTGGGAACACCTTGGGATCACCCAGTAGGAGCTTGAAAGCATTGCTGGGAGAGGGACATCTGGAATACTTTGCTCCCACGACCCAGCTTTGGATAAGCAGTTGAAAATTGATGGATGGAAGGTTTTGTTTGCCTAAAAAAAGTCTTGTTCAGCGGTTGGTTGTACTAAGAGACCCTGTAAGGAGTCAGATATTTCATTTTCTTCAGTGAGTACATAAGTTTAATGGTTTTAAGCCTGTTTTTCTCAAGCCGAAAAAAGTATTAGCTTTTTGAAACAGTCAACTGTACCTGTAAATGCATCATGCTAACCAAGCTAGCAGCTAGCACTGGGATTATCTCCACCCTCTCATCCAAATATGGTCACTTCTGGCTCCAAAACACCAAGATGGTGACAGTCAAATGCCAAACTCAAGGTTTCCAAGCGTGAGTCCACAAATCAATGGGTGACGTCACAGTGGCTACGTCCATTATTTTATAAAGTGTATGTCTGAAACAAAAAAGATGATAATAGTATGCATGCTTGAGTCCTGTAGGCCAGACTGAAGAAGGAACTTTCTCAACCTTTCCTGCTCATGGACCTCTGGAACAGAGCAGTGCTTGCAGTGCTGAAAACCCCGAAAAGCCAAAGCACAGAATGATGATGATTATTAGAATTTTTACATTATTAAATATGGGAAGAAACCTATAGGGTGTAAATATTCATCATTTAACTTGTGAAAGTTATTACTCACCAAGATTAAAAATGTGATAATAAATGTGTATGTTCAGTGAAATCATTATCACCCAACTGCTGCTAAGAACATTTGTGAACCTGCAGGTTGAGAATTACTGTAATCCATGAGTGAAAACAAGCCAGCTGAAACAAGGTTCCCTTTAAACATCCGTGCTGAAACAGCTCTGCCATTGTTCCCTCAGGAATTGAACTGTCACTAAGTAATAAATCCTGCATGTGAATGTGACTTAATAATCATGTAGAGGTTGCTACTGCATGCGCAATTCATTAAAAACCTTCACTTTTTGTTGCCTGGGAATACTTGTCAGACGTTATTAAGGGGGATAAAGCATGGTTGATGGACGACGCTAGTCCTTGTGGTTTCTAAGCTTGAAGGAAACGGTTTAATGATTTTAAGATATACAGATGATTGCATTAGTTTACAGTCAGTTGCATTCACTTGAGGTGAGATATGATGAGTAGCTGCTGCAGTTTCGCTCAGAGTGTTCTAGGGACCTGCGTGTGCTTGCCGTCCTATTCCCAGAACCATCAAAGTGGGATCTAATTAAAACATAGAGGAAAGTTTCAGACACTCGAGTGAGAAAAATGATGAGAGGAGTCTGGAGATGTTCTTAAAAGGTAGGAAGACAGATGTGTTGAGGGACTTGCTGGTGTATTTAAAGAGCAGAGTTCAGCATATGAGGCTGGCATCATCTGAGGTCACGCAACTTCCTTTTCCGAACACTCAGTGTGGCGTACATCTTCCTTAGGGAAAAGCCTAAAAAATGAAAAACTTTTTGATCATCGTTTTTTTTATTTTTATTTTTTTTTAATGAAAACAAATTGATAAATTATTAGTATTTTTTTGTCCAAGGAATTATTTGCCTCGAATTTGCAAATAGACATTGATTGGAGTTCTTGACTGTGATTTTTCTCATTTATATTTTTGTGGTTTTATCTAATTATCTCAGCACTAAAGTCTGGTGTCTTCTCATCAGCATAAAACTAAAACAATCAAAAGTAAGTAAAAGAAGAGTAGAGTGGGGCGAGAAGCAAGGAGGTCATGTTCCAAAGAAAATGTTAAACTAGCAACTGTCTAAATTGCTGCATTTAGCACAGTGTGGTGTTTGAGATACAAGCTTTAGTCAAACTATCAATAGTGACTGTATGCTGTGACTGAATCTGGCTTTGGTCAGCGTTCCCTTGTCTTTATGTCTTGAGGTGTTGCTGAATGATTGTTCCAACATTTGAGAAGCATACACTCAGCTATAAAGGGAGTACACATACAGTTCCATACTGTAATGTTATCTCTGCAGCAGATAAATGTGATCGCAGCGCAGCTGTAGAAACAAAGGTAAAATAGCCCAGGTGTGGATGCACTCCACTCTCAGGAAGCCTTGACCCGTCTGACAGAAAAGGGCAAGAGAGATGCACATTATGTCCAGTGGGATAATACAAAGGTTGAGGTTACAGCCTTTACAGATATCTGATTTCAGGAGAAAGGGTCATGTGAGGGGGCTCAGGTGAGCGCCCATCATTAGGACAAAGGGAGCTTTTTCTTCCATTTGAGAGGGAAGACACGGTCAACCTATCTGCTGCAGTATTCTACATGATTTTCTTTGATTTGCTTTTACTGAATTTTATTCCTACATTGGAGGGTATGAGCAGGTCGAGGCTGGAAGAAAGGCTTCGACTGTTCCAATGAGGGAGCAAACCAGAGGGGGAAGTGCTTCAGTCCACTCAGGTAGGATGCTTTTCCCCAAGATCAAAGGTTGAAGTGGCTATTGCAAGGATGAAGCACCTGTGTGAGATAAAGATTTAACTATATTGTGCTCAAGGGAAATACAGGCAGGGTAGCAGTGAATAATTCAATACAAGCATTAGTATAACAAATAAACCCTATTCAAATGAATACAACTATAAAAATATTTTAATTATTAAAGACAAAACTGAAATTGACTTGAAAAATGACTGTTAAAAGATTATTGGTTATCTATTGATGCACTTTACACATAATGTATTGTGTTTTCAATGTCTGTCAGTGGCTGTCCTGACTGTAAGATTTGTAGCAGATTTGTTGAACTTCACGTTTCAACCACACTGTGATCAACATGCGGTTTGGTTTGGCACAAAAAGCACTTGGCTATGGTGAGGAAAAGATTATATTTTGGCCTAAAATACACAGTTTTTCCTCTGTAAAAAAATATATTTTTGTGACACTATCTACGCAGGAAATGCTGCAGCAATGTTTTGGTAAAAAAACAGTTGCTTTTTCTGGCACTATCCCTGGTGAAAAAACAGTGACGGGTTGTAAAAAAACACCCATGTTTGGTTGCTAAAAAGCAGCTGGAAACAGCAATGACTCCCAACACAAGCAGGTTTGTTGTTTGTTGCTCTCGAAGAGCGGTCTGCAGCTTGGCAGATGTCTAACATAGGTGACATACATCCACCATCCCCTCCACCTCTTGATGACAAAGACATATCCATCATTTGCTGTAATGTGCAATGCCAACATTTTCTTTTGGTGACTGGGTTGGATTTAAAGAGCTTGTGTCCAAGTGTTGTTAGTTTTGCAGATTGTCCTTACAAGCAGGGCAAAAACTCATGCTTTATCACTAACAGCAGCACAACCCCGGGATCACAGCTCATTGCATTTTAAACAGGGTCCCATTTTATTCTGTTGGAAATTTGTTTAACCATCCAGGGTCTCAGAGTTTGAGGGCACAACTTGGACACGTCTGCAGAATTTGCTGACAAAGCCCAAAGAAGGCCAGCTGGGCCGTGTATTACACAGAGCTGCATCAGCCGGGCCAGTGATTAAGATGTTGTGAATTTTAAATTTGGTCCCGCCAGAGAGGCACAATGATGATTAACCTTGAATCCCGGAGTCGTTCCCAATATATCCAGGGATGTTTATGAATATCTGTTTGTAACCTCAATCTTGACGATGGTTGTACAAAACCTAATAACTCTCACACCAAGTAAAGAGGATATTAGTGTGAACTGTTTCCAAGTGGACAGCTTGGCTCTCAGCCAGGTTCAGGGCACAGCATGTACAGAATTACTATGAGCAACACCGAGAATTTGCAATTGAGATCAGTTGAAGGATATATTAACAGGGGAACAGTGAACAGATGTGGAAGCAACTGACAGTTATTCTTGTAGTTATTAAGTATGGGAGCCCAACTGCCACTGGGAAGATAACCTTCACATGAGGAGAAGTGCCCCTCAGTGGCACATTATGGGGGATAATGTCCATTCCAGATGGGATGGTGTTTGGTGGGAGACCATTTCCTGTTTATAAATGAGAGTTATACTATATAAAGAGTGTCATTAGAGTAGCTAGTATAACACAATGACGACCTCCTTATAAATAAATGCAGGACCCCATGTTGGAGGAACAATCAAAGGATACTTAAAGTGACTCAAAACCCCAATTGGAGCTGACTTGGATATAAAACCCAAATAAAGAGTGCTTTGAAGCCACACATTAATTTGACTCATTACAAAAAGTTATTCTTGGCCAAACAATTTCTTTCTTAAAGAAGTATTTTACAGTGGGAAAGATTTCATAAAGCTGGGCTGTCTATGCAGTAGAAAGATGCAGATACTTTGAATATTGGTGCTGCATAACAGGAGAAAATAAAGGAAAAGGGCTGTGACATTTGATTTTGCTCAAGAGGTGGAAAACCTTCAACAACAAGAATGCACCCACCTTCTGGTGGGTGACATAATGCAAGCTTGTGCATTTTGACCATAGACTGTATCAAAAAATGGATGTACTGTAGCTACCATGACAGCACATTACTGACATTTTGAAGCCTCGAGCTCAGCATGTCAGCCATTGCCATCTTGTCATGTCTGAGCCAGAAGTGACCATATTTAGATTAGTGGGTGGAGCTGTGGTAGAGCGAGGGATGAATCTGACTCATAGGCTGTAGCGATGCCTCGCAGACAGCCTGTCACGCAGTTGTCCTGAAGGGCAAAATTAGCTATGGAAACCAAAACTGTACTAGGCTGTAAACACCTTTATTTCTGTGGTAAAGTTGGGCCTTTAAACATAGGTTTATTTGCTTCTGGAGCCAGCCTCAAGTGGCCATTTGAGGAACTGCAGTTTTTGGTACTTCCACTTTGGCTTCCTTATGCAGCCCCCAAGGTTCCTGCTTGGTTTTGACACAGGGAACAATGTGGCGGCCGGGTGGTAACAAATTATCTCAGATTACAGTTAAATGGTAAGCTAAAATGTGTTTTTAAACATTTCAGGCGAGAAATAGACAACATAGTGACATAATCTTGACTCATATTTTATCAGCGCTGATTATTTAAACCATTTTATGCCAGTTATTTCAGCTTTCATTTTTACAGTACAGGAAACAATATGGCGCCCGCTTCCTGTTCATGAAATTTTTATATAACAGCCAAATAGTGCAAAAAAATATGTTTCTGAGGACATTTTAGCAAGAGATAGGTGGTACAGTAGTAGAATAGATTTCTATTTGATCTGCACTGCTTAGTTTTACAGTTTGATTGGATTTTGGTCTGAGTTTGAGAGAGAAAGAGGGGGGGGGCGGGTCCCTCTCTCGATCCGCTTTTACACATGGTGGCATGTATAGGAAAATGCAGGAGCACAATCTGTAGTTCAGGCAACAGCCATGGATGTAATGATCGGCACTGCTTCCACATTGTGTGACCAATAGAGCAGGCACACTAGAAACTTCTGTTCTGGTTCTGGTTAAGTGCTTTGCTAACTTGAATGGGGATAAAATGCTTCAATCGTGTGGCTCTTCTAGGCTTTTAATGTTATTGTTTGAATGGATCAAATCCTGATGGTGAAACAAGTCATTTTGTGGGGGTTTTGAGGCTCAAAGAAATGTATCCACTAATTGTTAGACGTCTCTTTTGCCATGCAAGTTAATGGGGGAAAAAAGTATTTTTGGCCACAGGGCATCACATGATGGTGTAATTACACTCTTTGGACACTATGAACATTTACTTCATAGCCCAGTACACTTCCTGGGGGCCTTGAAACAGACCCAGAGTCAGCAAAAATCTGCTGGATAATGCGTTGGGAGATGAGTAGGTATAGATCTGGGTGCTGTTCAGATGGAGGAAAGTTTACCACAGTTCATTTACACATACTACCCACATTATTATGATACAAAGCTGGTTGAAAATCAGAAGGGTATGCCTTTAGGGATTTTTTCGATGAGACTCCAGAAACTGTATATTTGCTGCTTTTCATTTACAAACCTCCATGATTGGAACAATTAGTGTCTTCAACAAGTGCCTCTGCATAGAACTGAGTATAAGCATTTTTTAATCTGCTCATTTGTTTTTATTCAGACATTTTTGCACATCAGATCAAATCACTTCTGCAGTACAGAGTGTACAATAGTGAAGAATTACAGTTCTTCCTCCCTGCACATTGTGTGGTAGAATAATTGGTCACCCATCAATAAGTCTGTCAGTTTTCAAGAGTATCGCAGGACAATGCTGAGACGCTCCACTTAGATGCAGTGTCCTCCTTTTTTGTACTTGCCATTTTAAGTCGTTTTAGCTCTGCCCTATTTCCTCCCGTTTCTGTTAAATGCTCTTGGAAATAAATCAGGACTTCGTCAGTGATCAATGGAGATGGATATTAAAGGAGACGGAGCAGGAATGTTAGCCCTTTTTGGCAGTCGAGGCATGTGAGCGCATGGCAGTTCTGCCTCTCCAATCATCTGTGGAGAGTTGTCAGAGCCTGGACGGCCATGGTGGGCAGGGTTATTAAGCAGGATGAATGACTAAACAGTCTCTGCAGCTTCATTCAGCCGTCTCATTAGAGTCGACGGTGAGAGACTGCTGTTTCGCAGGGAGCCATTGGGAGGACTATTAGTGATGCCCCCACAGTCATCGTCACTGAGCCCAGCAGGCCCCACAATTTTATCCATAAGACTTGCATCCGCTATATCAGTCCTTTCACACCGTGTCCACACTTATCTTTGACTGTCTCAATTCCCATACCTGCAAGTGTTTCTAGACTTAACTAGCTAATTTGTTCATGCTGTTTTTTAAAGACCCATATTCCTTGGCACGTCTTTAAAAGCATTGCCAGCTCTGATAATAACTTTGATGGAAGCTAATTCATTTTCACTGATCTTCCCTGTAATTAGGCAGTCATGGTGATTGGTCGTTGTTGAATGAAATGTGAACTACATCTCCATCCACCTCCAATCCCTCTGTAGACTACATGGCTAATTCGGGTGATGCCTACAGGGGACAATAGTACTTTGAAGCCTATGCAAATCAACACATTAAAGCATGCAGAGAGTTTTTGTTGCCAAAAACAGGTGTACAGGTGTTTGTCATTTATTAGATTTAGCCAAAGATTTAATCCCTGCAGCTCGCATTTTAATTAAATTCTAGCTCACTTAATGAATTGGCATTTGACTTGATTAAGCACGGAGCAGCTGTGGAAGACAGCTCCCAGTTTTACCACTTCAGGAAAACCACAGATAAGCATTGAAGCTAGCACACAGAACCTGTGTCCCAAAAATCCTCCTGTCAGACATGGAAAGATAAATAGCTACATAATGGGCACAACTGAGCCAGATATGATTTGTTTCCATTCCTCAAGACTGACTGCATCTTTATTAACACTGGCAGACAGTAACGGTAAATGGGTAGGAAATTGAAAGCTGGTTATGCAGGACTACCATAGCTGAAAAAAAAGTCATGTTGTCAATGAGAGCTGTGCTTGCACAGAGGCAGCAATTTAAATATGAAAATGTGCAAATGATGTACCTTCAGTCACAGAGCTGTACAGTGCTGGTGCTGGTACACTAAGCCAGGTTTGCACCAAATCTCTGTGAAAGACACTCTTGGATGATTGTTTCTTTCTGTCTGATATTTTCAGCCTGTGTCTGAGGAATTCCAAAATGGTGAAGGCTTTGGGTATATTGTTGCATTTCGTGCCAATGGAACCAGAGGCTGGAAGGAGAAGATGGTGACCTCTGCGGACTCTACAACGTACAAATACAGAGACGAGACCTTCCCTCCCCTCACCCCATTTGAGGTAAAGGTTGGAGTTTACAACAATAAGGGAGATGGGCCATTCAGCAAAGTCGTCATCATCCACTCTGCTGAGGGGGGTGAGTTAGTCTTTGTGGTTGCATTGATGTTAAAAGTACACCAAAAATAGTTTTTGACCTTTTATGATTGTCACCATTTTGACCTGTCTCACAGAGCCCAGGGAGGCACCATCTGATGTGAAAGCGTACAGTATTTCTTCATCGGAAATTAGAGTCACTTGGAAACCGCCCAATCCTGGACCCGGAAGACCAAGAGGATATGAGGTGCATGTGAATTGCTTTCATTTTTTTGTGTTCACTCATACATTTGCATACAGTATCTGACCTCTGTGTATGAGAGGTTTGAGAACACTATTTTCTCAAAGTCATTCATTTGGTATAACAGGTCAGCTACTGGAAAGACATGGATCAGGAAGAGTCGGGGAAAAAACAAAGAACTGTGAAAAACGAAACGTCCATGGTCTTGACAGGACTAGAGGGCAACAGTCTGTATCTCATCACTGTAAAAGGCTTCAACAGCATCGGCCAGGGTCCTGCCACCACTGCTGTCACAGCCAAGACCAGGAAAGCCCGTGAGTACAGCACTGACACTAATCACGTCATACTATATATGGAATAGAGGCTACCTGTTAAGTTCGCTCCAAATCCCCCTGTAAAAAAACGTAGTAATTGACCTAGTTGGTTGAAACTCTGTTTAAAAGTCAGTTTTAATTTGCACTCAGAGTGTTGTGTTCTCTTCTTAGCTCCTGCTCAACCACCAACCAACCTCATGTGGATTCAGGAGGGCAACAATGTGTCTTTAAGCTGGGACCCAGTGAAGGCAAAAGACAATGAATCTGATGTCATCGGGTATATGGTAATGATTAATCTCTGACGTTATGTTTCTTCAGATTCATAACATTAATACTCATGAAAACATTCATGCAAAGCCTGTAAAAAGCTGCTAGTTCCAGAGGTCTCCTGCATAATTTAACAGTGCTATATATTTATGCTATGGCCATCAGTTCAAATGTATGCATTTATTGCCAATTTAGCAAGAAAACAAGATCTAAATACTGGAACACCCAGTGGCAAATCAGAACTGTGGTGAATTCATGACATTTTATCATCACATTTTTAAACAAAATATCACAAAAATGCTGATGAATTTATCTAACATTGACCTAGAATCCGAAAGGAGAATCAATTTAAAGCACTGAATATATTGTGTGTTAAGTGTTAACCTTAGTTTCAGCTCGCCAATTTCAGCATACGCAAGAAAATCAATCTAAGTGAACATTTTTAACTTAAAATGTCCCCTGGTAATAATAGTTGACTCTTACTAACTTTGACTTTGTATTCAAAGGAACAGTTCACCCCAGAATCAAAAATACTTATTTTTACTTTTACGTGTAGTGCTGTTTATCAGTTTAGATTGTTTTGATGTGAGTTGCTGAATGGTGGAGATATCGGATGTATAGACTCACAAGTCAGTCTTTAGACACTTTGCTTACCCAAAGACTGATGACTTTCTCCCTGATTTTGTGTTTAGATGGGCGGAACCAATAGTAAATCCGCAGGGCGGTCCTTCAGTGGCTCACTGAACTCTTGTGCTCGTAAACATAGTCCAACTAGAAACACGTGTAGCGGTACAAAATGGCTCAAGTCGCTGTAAGTCCTTCATTTCCACAATCTTGCGGACTGAGCACATGTTTGATAAAACGGAGTTAAATCTCTCGGCATCCATTTTCAAGCTCTTTGTGTGTTTGTTTCCTTGCGGATGGGAAAAGGGGGAGCGCACATTTCCGGGAGGGCGTGTCCTTTTAAAAAAATGCAAGAGGCGTTGCTTTGTTGCCGGCCGTTTTCGCCGGTGTGTTAAACACACTTTAGAAAGGAGTGTCCCCAGGCTATCAGAAGGCGGAGATCTCTGATTGTCTGGTGGCGAGACTATTGGATGTAAAGATGTCTGCCTTTTCACCAATATAATGGAACTAGATGGCACTCGGCTTGCGGTGCTCAAACCACCAAAAAGATACTTTTGAAAAACTTAACAGCAGTGTCCCTTTTTGGAAATCATGACCCAGTTACTCAAGCTAATTCACAGACTTTGTTGTGAGCAGTTTAATGTAAGAACTACTTTGTTTCTACTGAATCCTATCACAGTGCAGAAGGCAGTGTGCATCTACTGCTGCTCATCAAGCTGGGTAGGAGGCCATTTATGTTTACATTTCACACTGTCACAAGCACGAGCCTGTCATCCATGAGTAGATGCACACTTTCTTTGAGCGTGGTGATTCAGTTCGGGGATGTAGTTTGGTAGAAAGAAAATAGTTCCCACATGAATCTGCTCACAACATGGTCTTTGGATTATCTTGAGTAAGCGGGTCATGATTTCTGGAGAGAGACATCGCTGTTGATTTCTACAAATGCATTTTTTGGTGCTTTGAGCATCACAAGCCAAGTGCCTCCTAGTCACATTATATTTGAGAGAGGACAGACATCCCTACGGCTGATATCTCCAACATTCGGCAACTCACAACCAAACGAGACTGATCTAGACTGATAAATAGCACTACAGGTAAGAGAGTGATTTTGGGGTGAACTGTCCCTTTAAAGAACCAGCTATTTAGTTGCTGACCTTGCCTAACATTGTTTATGCAGAAAAATAAAACAGGACTTTAACTTCTGGATTCCTGGAAACCAAAAATAACTCATTTTATGACTCTGTTACTGTTAAAGGACAAAGGGAAATTATAGTGTGATTTTTACCATCTATTTAATGTCCTGCAGGTGTTAGTCAAACAGGAGAGCAGAAGCCACAACCAGGTGACAAGAACCATTAACCCTTCCACCATGCTCTCACTGCCAGAGGGAGGCACCTATATCATTGAGGTGCGCGCCCTCAGCGAAGGGGGAGAGGGAGCGGTCAGCTCCCAAGTTCGAGTGGTCACCTCCTCTGGTAAGCTCGAAGCTAGTTAGTTGTCCCCTCTCAGCCATACACTCCATCGCATGACCTCTGAGATCCAATCGCTATGCACGGGCTATTTTCTCTTTGTAGAGATCTTATGTTCTGCCCTTAATTGAGTCACCGCAGCTGTTGTGCGAGCCAAGTTTTCTTTGGCTAATACTGTTTTAATTACCTCACCCACACAAACCTTCCTACTCTTGCACAGCCAATTAACTTCCAAGCAACAGGACGAACAGAAAGTTTGCAGTCCTGTGTGTGACATTACCAGCCAGCTTCTCGGGGCAATGGGTTGTTGTTTTCTTCATTGTCTCTGTTTTCCTTCACTGTCCTTGTTTTCTTCAGCGAAAAATGTCTTCCCACCTCCGATCTCCTCTGGTACAATCCGTTCAAAAGATCAATGAAGTTATTCAGCATTAAAATTGAATGCAGGTCCGTGATTTTGTTTAGCATCTTTGTTTTTATTAGTATTGACTGTTCCCCTTCTCTTCACTTAGGTGTTCGAGCAAAAAGCAACCAGTGCTCAGTGCACTGCCTGCCACAGAGCCTAACATGGACAGCACTGCTCCTGGTTCTTCTGGTGCCTTCAGCTTCCTGGTGAGGCCAGTGTGCCATCCTCATTTTCATGGAGGGAGCCACCAGTCTTCCGCTCCCTTATTCCCTCTGACTGCCTGCTTGCTTCGGCCTTACCCATCCCAAAGGGCCCGAGGCCTGCCAAAGGGGGTTGAGTCTGCCAGTTACCATGCGGCTCTTCAGAGTTCATCCTTTTAAGTTCCCTGATTCTTCTGAAGCCCTGGACATTTGATTTGCACAGTTCTTTCCAACATCACAATAGTGTTGTACTGTAGTGTACATTGTGTGGAAAGATTTGTTTAATCATTTCCTTTAACATCATGTGTTCCTCTCATTGACTGGAATCTAACAACTTCCAGACAGCTCCTACAGCTCTGGGGTTCTACAGAGCATGAACAATTCCTCGAAAGCTGCTGTGGTAGTAATACAGGGATCAGCCGGCCTGTTTCTTTTCATTACTTATCTGCATCAATTTACCCCTTGGCTGCCTAACAAGCAATGCAGCAGAAGCTCAGTAGAGATAAGTGCATTGTTTTCTTATTCACACATTGAGGAGAAAAAAAGTTTTTTATGAAACCAAGAATCTTACTATTTCCAGACTTGCTTTTTGTACATTGTGTTACCTTTAGAGAAAAACACCGTGGTGTGTGTCAGCTATGTCAAACTCTCTGTTTTTGGTAGTGATTAAGCAATGCTTGGTGATACAGTTTGTTGACTGTTGGATGTATGGAGATAGGAAACAGGTTCCCACCTGTAGTGCCCGAACACATCAATAGACAAAGACAACTCTGTACGGACTCTTGGTGTCAGTACAAATAAATGTGATGTATATTTTTTAAATGCTTGTTGTCTGTATTTTCTAACTTTCAAAAATGTTTCTGACAATGTCCTAGGGCTACAAATACTAATACTACTATGAATCAGACTATTGATTATTTTATAATGAACCAGGTCATGATTTTGCCTTTAGACTGAATCACAATGTTTGTCTACAGTAACTTCAGGGTAGAAAACCCCCACATGATGTACATAAAATAAGACAAGGCTGAGCCAATGCTGCCTCAGTTGGTCAGATTTTAGCCACCTATAAAGAGTCCCCCCAAAAAATCAATATCAGTTTAAGTGTACGCTATATTTAGAATATTTTCTTTGCTGTCAGACGCCCTTTTTGACAGGGAACTAAGACAGTTATCTCACAGCCACCAGACGCCATTGACAAAAACACTCATTTTACTTCACAGAACACGGGAGTTGCTGGTCTACCTTTGCATAGATCAGTAAGTGTGTTACGCTAATGTTAAGTGGGGAAAAATTTCAAATACAGTGTACATTTAAAGGAACATTGTGTAAGATTTAGGGAGATTTAGTGGTGTCTAGCTGTGAGGATTGCAGATTGGAACCGGCTGGATCTTCTCCTGATTAGAATTCCTTCAGTGTGGTGATTTATCCGCAGAGGTCTCTTCCTCTCCAAATCAAGAGGCTCAGGTGATTAAAACAGGTGAAACACTGAATAAAGCAGTTTCACATTACAAATAAATGGTTCCCTGATGCTGTTTGGCCTGTCTGTGACAAGCACCAGTTAATTTGTGTTCACCTTTTTTCTCTGACAACTTAATGGGTGCTCACCTTTTTTTCTGATCCGCAGGGTTCAGGAGGTTTTTACCGTGAGCCGAATTATCCACAGAGGCCACTTCCTCTCTTAAACAAACAGATCGGGTAAATTAAAGCGGTGAAAACACTGAATAAAGCAGATGTTACAAATCAGTGTTTCTCCGATGCTGTTTGGCATGTTGGAGACTGGCCATTAGCCTAGCACCAGCTAATATGTGCTCATCTTTTTCTCTGACAGCAAAAGATCCAGATGTTTGTTGGGTTTATACTGAGAGCCAAAAGATGTTTTCCTCTCCTCTCGTTCAGGTGAATTAAAAAGGTAAAAACGTGGAATAAAGAAGGGTTATTCATTCATTCATTTTCCGTAACCGCTTATCCTGTCGGGGGTCGCTCACATTCACACCTACGGGCAATTTAGAGTCACCAATTAACCTGCACGTCTTTGGACTGTGGGAGGAAAGTGGAGTACCCGCAGAAAACCCACGCTGACATAGGGAGAGCATGCAAGCTCTGCACAGAAGGGCTCCCCCACCCCTGGGTCCGAACCAAGAACCCTCTAGCTGTGAGGAGACAATGCTAACCACTGCACCACTGTGCCACCAAAGCAGGGTTATGTTTAAAAAAAATATATATATAAAAAATCTGATTATCCAAGGCGGAGGGCAGATACAAATGTTGGCCAAAGTGAAAAGGCGAATGGCCCTAGATCTAGAGTCAGTGTTTGGTTTGTTCATTCTGGACTACTGTGGAAACATGCCGGGGCAACACGGTGGTCTCGGTAGACGAGAACTTGCCCTCTGTATAGATATTAACAGCTCATTCTAAGGTAAAGAAAACACAACAATCCTTTTTTTCAGGTGATTACATACTCAAGAAAACATACTTATTATATTATATTCCATTTCTGCCAATATATCCCCCTAAATTCTACACACTGGACCTCTGAACTGAAATATTGATTTTTTTTTTTTATTTATTTATTTTTTTTATTAGGTGGCTAAAATACTTTTTTGCTGCTGCTCCTGTCCACAGCAGTACATCTCTTAGCTTCTGTGCCAGTAGATTTGGTTTATCAAAGATGGTAGCAAAGCAACACAACATAAAATAAGCACTGCAGAAATGTCATTAAATGATATAAATGTAATTGTTGAAAGCTGAAAATGACAACAGAAATTAACAGGTTTGCCAACTGGAATCAATCGCCAGTTGTCTACGTCACAGTGATTCAGTCTATACAATATTTCCTGAAGCCTAAGGTGACATCTTCAAATTGCTTGCATTGTCTGAGGAAGAGTCCAGGATCCCAAGACATTCAATTAGCAGAAAGAAAAAAAGCATCAAATTCCCACATTAATTATTCAGTATTTTATCTGTAATTGTTAAATGTCGCTGGTCTATCAGACAGCTGTGCACTTTGAGAGGCCTTTCCCAAGTGTTATGTAAAGTATGAGTTGATTGAATTCCACACACGTGGCATTAGAGGCCACAAAACTTTCTGTGATAAAAGAACCACTGCAGAGCCAAATAGGGCAGCATCAAGAGTATCTCTCCTTCCTCTCGGGCTCCTCTCTTGCCTTGTCTGCAGTAAAAGCTTATCTCTCACTGGGCAGAAATCCAAATGAATTTGCCTCAAGTGTAATTAATGTTAGAATGGAGATCTGTAGTCCTAAAACCTGCTTGCTTGAGCAGACCTTTTGCTTGCTCTGCCTCCAGCTCCCTGGACTCTCCATTACAGAGTCAGAGTAACCTGGCTCACCCGCTCAGGTTCAGACAAGGGTACTAGCTCAACCACAAGAGATAGGACCACACAGAGAAACAGAGGACGAACACTGCTCCAAGCAGTGTCTATCCCGTGGATACTCCTCTTCTTTCAGACCTCTCTGTTTTGGTTACATTCGGAGTGGGAGGATGGCGAGGTTGGTCTCCCCTTTCTAACTTGTACATCATTTCCGTCTGTAGTGCAAAGCATTAAGCTGTTTAATGTGGATGGAGGGGTTTTGCGGTGCTTTTAGCCTGTTCAATGACGTCGGCTCAAACACATACCTCCACACAAGTGCTAATGTACCGACCTTTAATTATTCATGCAGCACCTGTCTGTGTTGGAGCATCTGATTTATGATAATGGATTATGTATCCTGCAAGGGGACCCATTTGGTTCAGAGAGCCAGAAGCTATAGTGTCAGCAATTAAAACATGAACTCCCCCTAGGTTAATGTCAGTGTCTGTGTGAGTGTGCATGTGAGTGCATACTGGGATATACTGCACTTTTTAGTTATCTACAGTAGTGTTAGATGATTTTAGGGCTAATGTATTCTGCTGGAGATCAACAACGAGTCAGTTCCACAGCTCAGAGTACTTCAAAATGGGTTTTGTACAATTAAAAAAAAATTTTAATTAGGCTATGGTGTATGAAGCTTGGGCTGCTATTAATCACTATTAGCATTAAATATTTTTTTTGCTAATTTCAATATACAGGCAGTGTCAGTGTCTGTTCTATATTAATCTGTTTGAACACCTCATTTTTTTCATGCTTCTTTGTGTCTTTGAAGGGGAAAGAGTCAGATCAGTATAAGCTTGAGGCTTTAGGAGTGGCACTACTCTGAAATTTAATAAACTTCTTTGCTTGATAGGGTTAGCAACACCCATAATCTAACAGCAACCCTGAAGCTGAGGGATTCAACATTTCTGCTCCAAGGACACTCCAACAGGAGGGAAGCTTACTGTCAGGGCGGCAGGAACTGGAAGATGAAGGACACATGCACATATACTTTATTTATAAGGTAATGCTGTTGTGATAAATATTTTACTAATAGTTTACAGTCCAATAGAGATTCAGGGGACATGATTCGTACATGGTATGTAAAGTTTCTCACTCCTCTTCATTTGGAGGACACTCTCTCTGAAACCTGAACCATATACCTCAAAAGAATCCCTTAAATATGATATTTTTAGCACGTATCGGTTGATACTACTTCTGTCTTTATCTATCCACAAATGTCCTTTAGCTTTTAGTCAAGTATTAAATTGTCTCGTGACATTGTTGTTGAAGGATTTGCTCTGTGATTGAGAGCTGAGCTGTGACTGCTTTCCAGGCAGGTCACAGTTTAACACTCATCCTGAAATTGCCAGAAGAGTAGGGTCCTCAAACAGACACTGCTGCTGCGGTAAGAGGTAAACTGTAATATCATACACTAAGAGACTTTCTGTGCAACCTGTAATTTTCTGTCTTGCATTTGATGTTTGAAGAAGAACTGAGTTGCATTTACCAAAATTGTTAAATCACACAGTTTTTGGATTACAGCTGTTTAGTTTTTTTTAACAGTTGACACTGTAAATGGCACTAAAGTGGCAAAATGTAATGGGAGAAGTTCTCAGACGTCAAGGCAGGAGTCAACTTGTAACACATTAGGAAGTAATGCAGTGTGTCTGTGCATGTAAAGGAACAGTGTATAAGATTTGGGGGGATTTAAGCCCAGTTCCCACCGAGCAGTACAGTACAGTTCAGTTCGATGCGCTTTTTTTTCTGTTTCCACTACAGCCCCTTTTACACTGCCAGATTTTCCGCGAATGTTGGGCCGTTTTGCCGGCAAGCTGCGAGCTTTAGACACACAGAGCTGGATTGGCGAGTTGATCCGAGGAGCCCAATTTTCCGCCTCGTAGGGTAGTCATATTGGTGGAACCCTTTTAGTTTAAACAGACCAAGGTGGCCTTCCGCAACGGGAGGGGCTGTTGAAGACTTGTGGGAGGAGCTGTTGATGACGCCGCACGTGAGAGCCAATGGAGGTGGATAAACAGGAAACAGCTGATAGCAGGAATTAGCGAGCAGCTAGTAGCAAGAGGGAAACACAAACCTGACAGACACTGTAAAGATGAGCAACTGGGGAGACAAGGAATTGAGCGCCCTCCTTGCCCTCGCACACAAAGAGGCCATTAACCGTCAGATGACGGGGACGGTGAAGGCCAGGCCGGGACGAGAGAATCGCTGAAGGACTGACTAGGCGCAGCTTCCCTCAAAGCACATCACTGTTTACGTGACACGCTGAGCTACACGTTTTGTTACTTGCTCACGCCCCCCATTGCCCCAAAAAAGGCGCATTCTGTATAAACAAAAGTAGGCAGGCGGCATTTTGCCGCCCTCCCCGATTTTGTTTTTATACTGCCAATGCTGAAAAAAGACTGATTGGGCTTTACTGCAAATTTGCACAATTCCTGTCTAAAAAGGGCTTATG